AAATATAAACCAATAAAATAATAAAAATATAAAACAATACAATTCTCACGACGTTTCTACTGCAACACAAAGCAGCAATCATCAAGAATAAAATAATAAAAATATAAAACAATAAAATAATAAAATATAAAACAATAAAATAATAAAAATATAAAACAATAAAATAATAAAAATATAAAACAATAAAATTCGTGGAGGGATGCAGGCAAGGCCGATGAGTCAGATGCCTTATATGACGTCCTATCACAGATCCTGGCTAAAGTGGCCCCTCGGGATAGAGTCATCATGTTGGGTGACTTCAATGCCCGAGTTGGTCATGATGCTGGCACCTGGTCTGGAGTGATTGGAGGGCATGGGCCAGATCAGCTCAATAACAACGGTAGGAGGCTGCTAGGTTTTTGTGCAGCCCATGGGCTTGTAATTACCAACACGCTGTTCCGGCATCGGCGCATCCACACAACATCATGGATGCATGCCGGGTCCAAGCAAGAACATCTGCCGGACTACATAGTGACGGACCAGTGGATGCGAGCCCATGTCCTTGACACCAGGACCTACCGTGGAGCTGATCTGCCCTCTGACCATCGACTAGTCATCTGTAAGATGCGCCTGCCATTCTTCCACTCCGGTGGTGGGTATACACCCAGGACCCCATTCAAACATAAGGTGGCCTGATCTCAGCTATCTGATGAAAGTTGCAAGCGAGAATTTCATCATCGCTTGCGGCTGGGATTGGCATCGTCCCCGACTCCTCCTGATGTCGAGGGTAAATGGGCGAGGTTTAGGACTGTGACTCATGCAGCTGCAATGGCTGCTTTGGGTACGCGGTCCAGACCTCCCCAGAGACCCTGGCTGACAGAGGAGGTGTTCAAGCTGGCTGAGAAAAAGCGACAGGCCCACTCTCATCGGCGACAGCATCCCACGGATGCTGTAGCCGATGAAATGAGTGGGTGGTGAGTGGGTTAGTGAGTGGGTGGGTGGTGAGTGGGTGTGTGTGGGGAGCGATAGTGTAGCGGTTAGCGCTACGCTGCGCTATGAACCTGGTGACCCGGGTTCGATTCCCGCTCACGGCCAACACCAGTGACGATTATCTGAACCGGTCCCGGGCCTCCCCTAGGTCGACTCAGCCTCAAATAAGTACCTGGTGCAGTGTGTAAACATTGCCACTAGGGAGACAAAGGCGGTCGGGCGTGGTGCTGGCCACCCACCCCCTCGTGTACCATTCCGGCCTTCATAGGTGCTCGCTAACAGCACTTGCCCCTACAAGTCTATTAAGGCTATATGGGGGTAGCAATGCTGAGTCTATGGGTGACAGTGCTGAGTCTATGGGTGGCAGTACTGAGTCTATGGGTGACAGTGCTGAGTCTATGGGTGACAGTGCTGAGTCTATGGGTGGCAGTGCTGAGTCTATGGGTGGCAGTGCTGAGTCTATGGGTGACAGTGCTGAGTCTATGGGTGGCAGTGCTGAGTCTATGGTTGACAGTGTTGAGTCTATGGGTGGCAGTGCTGAGTCTATGGTTGACAGTGTTGAGTCTATGGGTGGCAGTGCTGAGTCTATGGGTGACAGTGCTGAGTCTATGGGTGGCAGTGCTGAGTCTATGGGTGGCAGTGCTGAGTCTATGGGTGGCAGTGCTGAGTCTATGGTTGACAGTGTTGAGTCTATGGGTGGCAGTGCTGAGTCTATGGTTGACAGTGTTGAGTCTATGGATGGCAGTGCTGAGTCTATGGGTAGCAGAGCTGAGTCTATGGGTGACAGTGCTGAGTCTATGGGTGACAGTGCTGAGTCTATGGGTGACAGTGCTGAGTCTATGGGTGACAGTGCTGAGTCTATGGGTGACAGTGCTGAGTCTATGGGTGGCAGTGCTGAGTCTATGGGTGACAGTGCTGAGTCTATGGGTGACAGTGCTGAGTCTATGGGTGACAGTGCTGTGTCTATGGGTGGCAGTGCTGAGTCTATGGGTGGCAGTGCTGAGTCTATGGGTGGCAGTGCTGAGTCTATGGTTGACAGTGCTGAGTCTATGGGTGGCAGTGCTGAGTCTATGGGTGGCAGTGCTGAGTCTATGGTTGACAGTGCTGAGTCTATGGGTGACAGTGTTGAGTCTATGGGTGACAGTGCTGAGTCTATGGGTGACAGTGCTGAATCTATGGGTGACAGTGCTGTGTCTATGGGTGGCAGTGCTGAGTCTATGGGTGGCAGTGCTGAGTCTATGGGTGGCAGTGCTGAGTCTATGGTTGACAGTGTTGAGTCTAGGGGTGACAGTGCTGAGTCTATGGGTGACAGTGCTGAGTCTATGGGTGACAGTGCTGAGTCTATGGGTGACAGTGCTGAGTCTATGGGTGACAGTGCTGAGTCTATGGGTGGCAGTGCTGAGTCTATGGGTGACAGTGCTGAGTCTATGGGTGACAGTGCTGAGTCTATGGGTGACAGTGCTGTGTCTATGGGTGGCAGTGCTGAGTCTATGGGTGGCAGTGCTGAGTCTATGGGTGGCAGTGCTGAGTCTATGGTTGACAGTGCTGAGTCTATGGGTGGCAGTGCTGAGTCTATGGGTGGCAGTGCTGAGTCTATGGGTGGCAGTGCTGAGTCTATGGTTGACAGTGCTGAGTCTATGGGTGACAGTGTTGAGTCTATGGGTGACAGTGCTGAGTCTATGGGTGACAGTGCTGAATCTATGGGTGACAGTGCTGTGTCTATGGGTGGCAGTGCTGAGTCTATGGGTGGCAGTGCTGAGTCTATGGTTGACAGTGTTGAGTCTAGGGGTGACAGTGCTGAGTCTATGGGTGGCAGTGCTGAGTCTATGGGTGACAGTGCTGAGTCTATGGGTGACAGTGCTGAGTCTATGGATTAGGGTCGCCCCCTAGCGGAATTTTTTTATATTTCCTAATATGGGCATAACCCCTCCCCCCGCCCGGACGTCACTGGAAGTGGGGGGGGGGCGTGTGCGGCAATGGCGGCCGCCATTAATTAAACTTACCTGCACCGGAAGTTGTCGTAACCGGAAGCGAGTTACTACAATATCCTTATATGGGCATGACCCAATCCCACGGGAAATCGCCCCCCCACCGTCCTCCACCCCCTCCCATCGCCCCTATTGTCGTTTTCCGATTCCTGGCCGGAAGAAGAGGGAGAGAGACACACACACACACACAGCTGCAGTAATGGCGGCCGCCATCAATTGAACTTACCTCCTGCCGGATGTTGTGCTTGTTTGAACTCACTTAACCGGAAGTTCAATATCCTTATATGGGCACAACCCCCATCGCTCCACCCCCACCCTCGTCGTCTTCCGGTTCCTTGCCGGAAGAGGAGAGATGCAGCAGCAATGGCGGCCGCCATCAATTGAACTTACCTCAACCGGAAGTTGCCCTAACCGAATAGCGAGTTACGAAACTAGCCTTATATGGGCATAACCCCCCATACCGGAAACACCCCCCCCATCGCCCCCCTCAACTTCCGGTTCCTTGGCGGAGGAGGGAGAGAGGCAGCAATGGCAGCCGCCATCAATTGAACTTACCTGCACCGGAAGTTACTCTAACCGGATAGCGAGTAGTAAACTATCCTTATATGGGCATAACCCCCCCATACCGGTAACACGCCCCCCCCCCCCCACATCGCACCCTCCCCCCACATCGCACCTCCCCCCACCCTCAACTTCCGGTTCCTTGACGGAAGAGGAGGAGAGAGGCAGCAATGGCAGCCGCCATCAATTGGAACTTACCTGTACCGGAAGTTGCCCTAACCGGATATCGTGTTTCTAAACTATTCTTATATGGGCATAACCCCCCATACCGGAACCCCCCCCCCCCCACATTGCCCTCAACTTCCGGTTTCTTGCCTGAAAAGGCGGGAGCGAGAGACAGCAATGGCAGCCGCCATCAATTGGAACTTACCTGTACCGGAAGTTGCCCTAACCGGATAGCGAGTTACTAAACTATCCTCCTTATATGGGCATAACCCCCCATACCGGAACCCTCCCCCCCCACATTGCCCTCAACTTTCGGTTTCTTGCCTGAAAAGGCGGGAGCGAGAGACAGCAATGGCAGCCGCCATCAATTGGAACTTACCTGTACCGGAAGTTGCCCTAACCGGATAGCGAGTTACTAAACTATCCTCCTTATATGGGCATAACCCCCCATACCGGAACCCTCCCCCCCCCACATTGCCCTCAACTTCCGGTTCCTTGCCGGAAAAGGCGGGAGCGAGAGGCAGCAATGGCAGCCGCCATCAATTGGAACTAACCTGTACCGGAAGTTGCCCTAACCGGATATCGTGTTTCTAAACTATCCTTATATGGGCATAACCCCCCATACCGGAAACACCCCACCACATTGCCCTCAACTTCCGGTTCCTTGCCGGAAAAGGCGGGAGCGTGAGGCAGCAATGGCAGCCGCCATCAATTGGAACTTACCTGCACCGGAAGTTGCCCTAACCGGATAGCGAGTTACTAAACTATCCTCCTTATATGGGCATAACCCCCTATACCGGATACACCCCCCCCACACATTGCCCTCAACTTCCGGTTCCTTGCCGGAAAAGGCGGGAGCGAGAGGCAGCAATGGCAGCCGCCATCAATTGGAACTTACCTGCACCGGAAGTTGCCCTAACCGGATATCGTTTTCTAAACTATCCTTATATGGGCATAACCCCCCATACCGGAAACACCCCACCACATTGCCCTCAACTTCCGGTTCCTTGCCGGAAAAGGCGGGAGCGTGAGGCAGCAATGGCAGCCGCCATCAATTGGAACTTACCTGCACCGGAAGTTGCGCTAACCGGATAGCGAATTACTCAACTATCCTCCTTATATGGGCATAACCCCCATACCGGAAACACCCACCCCCCACATTGCCCTCAACTTCCGGTTCCTTGCCGGAAAAGGCGGGAGCGAGAGGCAGCAATGGCAGCCGCCATCAATTGGAACTTACCTGCACCGGAAGTTGCCCTAACCGGATATCGTTTTCTAAGCTATCCTTATATGGGCATAACCCCCCATACCGGAAACACCCCCCCTACATTGCCCTCAACTTCCGGTTCCTTGCCGGAAAAGGCGGGAGCGAGAGGCAGCAGCAGCAATGGCGGCTACGTTGCATACATCTCCGATGTCGTTACAACAACAACAACCACCACAACAACTACAGCCTCCTCCTCATCAACAACAACAACCACCACTACCTCCTCATCAACAACAACCGCCGCCGCCTTCTCCTCTCCTCCCTTCTCCTCCTCCTCAGCCTCCTCACGCGTCGCCTCAGGAAACTCCGTGGTCGGCCATCGATCGCTACTACGACGAGCAGGAGGAGGCGAGCGAAGAGTTGGACGACGACGACGACGAAGAGGAGGAGGAGGCGGCGGCGGCGGCGGCGAGGGGGGATGGAGGCGGCGGAGAGGAGGAGGAAGAGGAGGTGGTGGAGAGGAGGAGGAGGAGGAACGCCCGGGCGAGGGAGTCGGACGAAGGTTATGATCACTCTCACTCGCTGTGTGATCACTCACTGATCACTCTCACTCGCTGTGTGATCACTCACTGATCACTCTCACTCGCTGTGTGATCACTCTCTCGCTGTGTGATCACTCTCACTCGCTGTGTGATCACTCACTGATCACTCACACTCGCTGTGTGATCACTCACTGATCACTCACACTCGCTGTGTGATCACTCACTGATCACTCACACTCGCTGTGTGATCACTCACTGATCACTCACACTCGCTGTGTGATCACTCACTGAGCTCTCACACTCGCTGTGTGATCACTCACTGATCACTCACACTCGCTGTGTGATCACTCACTGATCACTCACACTCGCTGTGTGATCACTCACTGATCACTCACACTCGCTGTGTGATCACTCACTGAGCTCTCACACTCGCTGTGTGATCACTCACTGATCACTCACACTCGCTGTGTGATCGCTCACACTCGCTGTGCGATCGCTCACACTCGCTGTGTGATCATTCACTCACTCGCTGTGTGATCACTCTCACTCGCTGTGATCACTCACTCGCTGTGTGATCACTCTCACTCGCTGTGTGATCACTCACTCGCTGTGTGATCACTCTCACTCGCTGTGTGATCACTCACTCGCTGTGTGATCACTCTCACTCGCTGTGTGATCACTCACTCGCTGTGTGATCACTCTCACTCGCTGTGTGATCACTCTCACTCGCTGTGTGATCACTCTCACTCGCTGTGTGATCACTCTCACTCGCTGTGTGATCATTCACTCACTCGCTGTGTGATCACTCTCACTCGCTGTGTGATCACTCTCACTCGCTGTGTGATCACTCTCACTCGCTGTGTGATCATTCACTCACTGTGTGATCACTCTCACTCGCTGTGTGATCACTCTCACTCGCTGTGTGATCACTCTCACTCGCTGTGTGATCATTCACTCACTGTGTGATCACTCGCTGATCAATCACTCACTGTGTAATCAATCACTCGCTGTGATCTGATCACTCGCTGTGAGCAATCACTCGCTGTGAGCAATCACTCACTGTGATCAATCACTCGCTGTGATCACTCACTGATCAATCGCTCGCTGTGATCGCATGCACTCGCTGTGATTGCATTCACTCGCTGTCATCGCATTCACTCTCTGTGATCACCCACTCTCTGTGATCAATCACTCTCCATCTCACTCTGTGATCAATCACTCTCCATCTCACTCTGTGATCAATCACTCTCCATCTCTCTCGCTGTGATCACTCACTCACTGGTCAATCACTCACTGTGATCAATCACTCTCCATCTCACTCTCTGTAAACACTCACTCTCCATCTCACTCTCTGTGAACACTCACTCACTATGATCACTCGCTCTCTGATCAATCACTGTGATCAATCACTCCCCATCTCACTGTGATCACTCACTCTGTGTAATAACTCACTCACTATGATCACTCGCTCTCTGTGATCAATCACTCACTGTGATCAATCACTCTCCATCTCACTCGCTGTGATCATTCACTCTCTGTGATCACTCTATCGCTGTGATCACTCACTCACTGATCACTCACTCTCTGTGATCACTCAATCACTGTGTGATAACTCAATCTCACTCTCTGTGTGATCAATCACTCTCTGTGATCACTCACTCTCTGTGATCAATCACTCGCTGTGATCAATCACTCTCCATCTCACTCTCTGTGATCTCTCGCTGTGATCAATCACTCGCTGTGTGATCAATCACTCACTGTGATCACTCACTGATCAATCACTCACTGTGATCACTCACTGTGTGATCACTCACTCTCCATCTCACTCTGTGAACACTCACTCACTATGATCACTCGCTCTCTGTGATCAATCACTCTCTGTGATCACTCTCTCGCTGTGATCACTCACTCGCTATGATCACTCACTCACTGATCACTCGCTCGCTGTGACCACTCAATCACTGTGTGATCACTCAATCTCCATCTCACTCTGTGTGATCAATAACTCGCTGTGTGATCACTCACTCTTTGATCACTCTCTCGCTGTGATCACTCACTCGCTATGATCACTCACTCACTGATCACTCGCTCGCTGTGACCACTCAATCACTGTGTGATCACTCAATCTCCATCTCACTCTGTGTGATCAATAACTCGCTGTGTGATCACTCACTCTCTTTGATCACTCACTCTCTGTGATCACTCTCTCGCTATGATCACTCTCTCCATCTCACTTGCTGTGATCAAATCCACGACCTCCTGCGTACCAGGTGAGGTAGTCAACATCTCACAGCCAACGTAGTGATGATGATAGAGATCGAACCCACGACCTCCTGCGTACCAGGCGAGGTAGTCAACATCTCGCAGCCAACGTAGTGATGATAGAGATCGAACCCACGACCTCCTGCGCACCAGGCAAGGTAGTCAACATCTCACAGCCAACGTGGTGATGATGATAGAGATCGAACCCACAACCTCCTGGGTACCAGGCGAGGTAGTCAACATCTCGCAGCCAACGTGGTGATGATGATAGGGATCGAACCCACGACCTCCTGCGTACCAGGCGAGCTAGTCAACATCTCACAGCCAACGTAGTGATGATAGAGATCGAACCCACGACCTCCTGCGTACCAGGCGAGGTAGTCAACATCTCACAGTCAACGTGGTGATCATGATGATAGAGATCGAACCCACGACCTCCTGCGTACCAGGCGAGGTAGTCAACATCTCACAGCCAACGTGGTGATCATGATGATAGAGATCGAACCCACGACCTCCTGCGTACCAGGCGAGGTAGTCAACATCTCCCAGCCAACGTGGTGATGATGATAGAGATCGAACCCACGACCTCCTGCATACCAGGCGAGGTAGTCAACATCTCGCAGCCAACGTGGTGATCATGATGATAGAGATCGAACCCACGACCTCCTGCGTACTAGGCGAGGTAGTCAACATCTCGCAGCCAACGTGGTGATGATGATAGAGATCGAACCCACGACCTCCTGCGTACCAGGCGAGGTAGTCAACATCTCCCAGCCACCGACAGCACTTGCCTCCCGCCAGTGTTGTGGGCTACACGGGGGACCTTTGCCTGTGTCTGTGCGAGGGAGCAGACACGGAGGACGCGAGCGAGACTGACCTGGCCAAACACCACGAGGACGGACACGTGGAGATCAAGGAGAGGTGAGCGTGGTGGTGGTGGTGGTGGTGGAGGTGGTGGTGGCAGTGGTGGAGGTGGTGGTGGTGATGGTGGTGGTGGTGGTGATGATGGTGGAGGTGGTGGTGGTGATGATGGTGGAGGTGGTGGTGGTGATGGTGGTGGTGGTGGTGGTGGAGGTGGTGGTGGTGATGGTGGAGGTGGTGGTGGTGATGATGATGGTGGAGGTGGTGGTGGTGGTGGTGATGGTGGTGATGGTGGTGATGGTGGTGGAGGTGGTGGCGGTGGTGGTGATGGTGGCGGTGGTGATGGGGGTGGAGGAAGTGGTGGTGGTGATGATGATGATGGTGGTGGTGGTGGTGGTGGTGATGGTGGTGATGGTGGTGGTGGCGGTGGTGATGGTGGTGATGGTGGTGGAGGTGGTGGTGGTGGTGTTGGTGATGGTGGTGTTGGTGGTCTTGGTGATGGTGGTGTTGGTGGTGTTGGTGATGATGGTGGTGGTGTTGGTGATGGTGGTGGTGATGGTGGTGGTGGTGGAGGTGGTGATGGTGGTGATGGTGGTGGAGGTGGTGGTGTTGGTGATGGTGATGGTGGTGTTGGTGATGGTGGTGTTGGTGGTCTTGGTGATGGTGGTGTTGGTGGTGTTGGTGATGATGGTGGTGGTGTTGGTGATGGTGGTGGTGGTGATGGTGGTGTTGGTGATGGTGGTGTTGGTGGTGGTGGTGGTGTTGGTGATGGTGGTGTTGGTGGTGGTGTTGGTGGTGGTGATGATGGTGGTGGTGTTGGTGATGGTGGTGGTGATGGTGGTGTTGGTGGTGGTGATGGTGGTGGTGGTGGTGGTGGTGATGATGGTGGTGGTGGTGGTGATGGTGGTGTTGGTGGTGGTGGTGGTGATGGTGGTGATGATGGTGGTGTTGGTGATGGTGGTGATGGTGGTGATGGTGGTGTTGGTGATGGTGGTGATGGTGGTGTTGGTGATGGTGGTGTTGGTGATGGTGGTGATGGTGGTGTTGGTGATGGTGGTGTTGGTGATGGTGGTGATGGTGATGATGGTGGTGGTGATGGTGGTGTTGACGCTGGTGCTGTTGCTCTGCAGAATGTATCAGGAGAAGCTCAGCTCTCTGAAGAAGCAGCTACAGCATCTTCACGAAGGTGGGTGGGTGGCTGGGTGGGTGGCTGAGTGGGTGGGTGGCTGGGTGCGTGGGTGGGTGGCTGGGTGCGTGGGTGGCTGGGTGCGTGGGTGGGTGGCTGGGTGAGTGGGTGGGTGGCTGGGTGAGTGGGTGGGTGGCTGGGTGCGTGGGTGGCTGGCTGGGTGCGTGGGTGGCTGGGTGGGTGGGTGAGTGGGTGAGTGGGTGGGTGGCTGGGTGAGTGGGTGGGTGGCTGGGTGCGTGGGTGGGTGGGTGCGTGGGTGGGTGCGTGGGTGGGTGCGTGGGTGGGTGCGTGGGTGGGTGCGTGGGTGGGTGGCTGGGTGCGTAGGTGGCTGGGTGGGTGGGTGGCTGGGTGCGTGGGTGGGTGGGTGGCTGGGTGCGTGGGTGGGTGGCTGGGTGCGTGGGTGGGTGGCTGGGTGCGTGGGTGGGTGGCTGGGTGCGTGGGTGGGTGGCTGGGTGCGTGGGTGGGTGGCTGGGTGGCTGGGTGCGCGGGTGGGTGGCTGGGTGCGTGGGTGGGTGGGTGGCTGGGTGCGTGGCTGGGTGGCCGGGTGCATGGGTGGCTGGGTGCGTGGGTGCGTGGGTGGGTGGCTGGCTGGGTGCGTGGGTGGGTGGCTGGGTGCGTGGGTGGCTGGGTGCGTGGGTGGGTGGGTGGCTGGGTGCGTGGGTGGGTGGGTGGCTGGGTGTGTGGGTGGGTGGCTGGGTGCGTGGGTGGGTGGCTGGGTGCGTGGGTGGGTACGACAACAGCCGCCATTCGCCACAAAGTGACGGTGACGTCACCATGACGCCTGTGCCAGGCTAGGTGCACTTTGAAGGTTTGCTGCTGGCAGGAGGTCACGGGGCAGACCCTGCACGTCCCACACCTACACACACAGACAAAGATCCCCCATATAGCCTTGACAGACTGTAGGGGCAAGTGCTGTTAGCGAGCACCTATGAAGGCCGGAACGGCACACGAGGGGGTGGGTGGCCAGCACCACGCCCGACCGCCTTTGTCTCCCTAGTGGCAACGTTTACACACCGCACCAGGTACTCATTTGAGGCCGAGTCGACCTAGGGGAGACCCGGGACCAGTTCAGATAATCGTCACTGGTGTTGGCCGTGAGCGGGAATCGAACCCGGGTGGCCAGGTTCATAGCGTAGCGCTAACCGCTACACTACCGCTACACACACACATACCTACACACAGACACACACGCACACACCTACAGACACACACGCACCTACACACACACACCTACACACACACCTACACACACAGACACACACCTACACACACAGACACACGCACACCTACACACACAGACACACCTACACACACACCTACACAGACACACACCTACACACACACACCTACACGTGCTCTCACGCAGTGTGTGTGTGTATGTGTGTATGTGCGTGTGTGTATGTATGTATGTGCGTGTGTGTGTATGTGCGTGTGTGTGTATGTGTGTGCGTGTGTATGTGTGTGTAGGTGTGCGTGTGTGTGTATGTGTGTATATGTGTGTATGTATGTATGTGTATATGTATGTGTATATGTATGTATGTGTGTGTATGTGTATATGTATGTGTGTGTGTGTATGTGTGTGTATGTATGTGTGTATGTATGTGTGTGACTATGTGTGTGTGTGACTGTATGTGTGTGTATGTATGTGTGTGTATGTGTGTGTGACTGTGTGTGTGTGTATGTGTGTGTGACTGTGTGTGTGTGTGTATGTGTGTATATGTGTGTGTGACTGTGTGTGTGTGATGTACAAAACAACCCCCTACCTCCTCGCGGTGCCGGACGGGCAACTCTGTCGTGGACAGCGCTGTGGGGGGAGATCCAATTTTGATTGGCTCCTCCCCTCATGGCATATGTGTCCACCACAGGGGCTAAACGGGGGCTCTGGACGGGTGCGAGGGGCTGGTAACCCCTCCACCTTCAATTAATTACCACGAAACCACGAATTAAACTGAAATATGTAACAACTAAGCTTGTGCCGGAGGCCCCGGGGGGCCAGGCGTCTATGACGTCTCCTGGCCAAACCCCAATTGGCGGAGCCAGGAGATTGAATACCTACCCTCGGGGCTACTCCAGAAACAACGAAAAGCCACTACGGGTGGCCACGTGGAATATTCGAACGCTCACTGCAGAGGAGAGGCTGCCACTCCTCTGTCGGGAGCTGGACCGGTACCGCCTGGATCTATGCGGCATTCAGGAGGTCCGGTGGACCGGCTCTGGCTCCTGCCACCATGAGGGGTGGACAGTCCTTTACTCGGGGCAGCAGACTGCCAAACAACAGGGTGTGGGTCTTCTTTTGAACAAAAGAATGAAGGGGGCGTGGGAGCGTGGCGGTGAGGTGTGGGAAGCTGTAAGCCCCAGGCTACTTTGGGCTCGCCTTCCCATCAACCGGAGGCGAGGAATGGTGGTCGTGGTTACTTATGCCCCCACCGAAGATGAACATCCGTGGAGGGATGCAGGCAAAGCCGATGAGTCAGATGCCTTCTATGACCTCCTGTCACAGGTGCTGGCTAAAGTGGCCCCTCGGGATAGAGTCATCATGTTGGGTGACTTCAATGCCCGAGTTGGTCATGATACTGGCACCTGGTCTGGAGTGATTGGAGGGCATGGGCCAGATCAGCTCAATAACAACGGTAGGAGGCTGCTAGATTGTTGTGCAGCCCATGGGCTTGTAATTACCAACACGCTGTTCCGGCATCGGCGCATCCACACAACATCATGGATGCATGCCGGGTCCAAGCAAGAACATCTGCTGGACTACA